ACTTTTTCGGGTTTATCACACCCACCGCCATGACACTTTTTCAAGTTTTTGTAGATAAAAAGTTTGCGCTTCGTGGGCAAGGTGCAATTGGTGCTCATGATTTATGAACAATATATTTTTAATACTGTACTGATCATGATGTTGACTTTGTTATAACATATTTTTTGTCTTTTAGTTTTATTTGATGAAGGTTGATTGTGCTGATTTCTCTAGGTTTGTTAATGTGTATCCAAGTTCCTTGAAATGAAAATATTCCTTCAAACACAACGCGTATAAAAAACAAAATATTCATGTCTATAATTATCAATTAACTAGAACGAAATATTTCCATAACATATTCATTCATTTTGCGTGTCATGGTGACATTATCTAATGCATTGGAGATCAGAAATAATAGTAGCTATAGTGAAAATATTGTAAATTTTGTATATATATGGAAGTCTAGTTTAATCTCATAGAACTATGTCTTTATAGATATAATTACTGGAATAAAAATCTAACCATGATACTTCAAGGAAGATAGGCATGCAAATACATTTAATGTAATTATTTCCACTTTTATCTATCTGAAATGCTGTGTACACCTTATCTACTTTCCTCAACTAAAAATTTGATTATAATAAGTTAGGACTATTACTTTGCAATACATTTAAAATAGAGAAGTAGGTATCAAGTCCTTTCGATTTGTCTAAATCCTCATATTGATAGGATAGTAATTGCAACATCTGGGGGATTTCAAAGGTTGTATTAAGTCAACTTCATCATAGAGCTGTTTATCATTTTTCTTGTTGGCGATGAATATATGGTTGTGTTTATTTTGTTATTTTATTTTTTTTTTACCTATTTTGATTTGTTCACATTATTGTCGTCAAATTTGAAATAAGAATTAAAGAAGATATGAAATCGCTTAAAATTAAGGAAAATAGCCTCTGGTTCTCTTATTTTAGTAATTTTTGCATTCCAAAGTGTAGGAGTATGGGGAAAGTAATATAGCTTAGCGGTTATTTGTGAACATTTTTCAATACGTTTAGCCTCTCAGTACTTTCAGTACTTTGATTTATGATGGTGCGATTAACAGGATGCTGTCTTTTTTTTACTGGATAGCATTCCATTCTCGCATAACGTATAAAATATGAAAAGAGCAAAGATCCATAAACAAACACGCACATTCCATTTTAAAAGAATTAAATACAATAGATCAGATATGACGCACACAAATGAAATAAAAACAAAAAGGAAGATTAAAAGAACACACACACACACACACCCTCACACACACACACACACACACACACACACACACACACACACACACACACGGTTTCTCTTGTTTTTGTAGTTTTTGTTTTTGTTTTTTGTTTTTTATTATTTATTTCTTGATTTTTCGATAGCGTTGTGTCACCAATTATTGAATGGAATATGCTGCATACTTCTCAAACATTTGAATTTATCAATGTTATGAATATCGGCTTACCATATATTGCCAGTTGTCGTGTAAAAAAATAATTGTTGCTAATGACACTGGACTTTTTTTCAGTGAAACACAGTAAATGGTGAATTTATCCGTAAATAAGATGTCAATGGTAAATGGCATTTTTGTTAGGATTTTTAAAACTTGATTAACACAATAAATCGGAAAAGGGGAGAATTGTAAAGTCTTTTTTTAATATTCTTGATAAAGATATGGGCCAGTCTAAAAACACGTGCACTCTTTCTTGTATGTCACGTGCGCACGCACGACATACACGTTCACTTCACTGGTAGAGTTCATTAGCATTACATACAATAGAAACCCATTCACTTAGCTCGGGGTGATGTCACAAACCTGTTCGACGACGGAGGACATTGATAAAAATCCATCGTAAGTATATCTTCCTATTGTTTCTTACTTTTTAAAAAGTTTAAAAAGCTAGTCGCCAAAATCTACCCCATACTTTTAATTACCAGTTTTGATTCCAGTGTAATTCTACATCACGTTTCCGCCGCGACAACAATACATTTATTGTACAGTATTGGTAAATAGATATATACTGTTAAAGTGAAGACATAATTACACGCGTCATTTCATAGATTGGAAGGCAAAGTTTTCACGGAAGTTCTATGTATATCTTAGGTTATGTGTGTCAGGCAGCAATATAGAGACCTGTCCTTCTAATCGCGTTGCCTAGTTCCGTGCAGTGGTAACACGTAACGTATCGCATCCCCATTTATCATATCTATACATTACAGTTAAAATATCAGAAAAACAAGAGTTTCAAAACAATTTATGAATTCAAAGGGACATAACTGTCTACTATCATAGCTGATGGAAAGGAATTGTAACTTGGACAGAATTTGCATTTGTTATTCTTGAAGTCGCCTTCTATTTCAGCTCGTTCTTTCAATGATTTAAAGACGAAAGGGAACGGGTCTTGAACATTTTGCAAACTTTCTGAGCGAAAAATGGCCATACGTCTATCAAACGAGTATTTTCAGTGTCAATGTATGAGTTATCATTGCATTATAAAGTGAGACAGAGACAGACGGACGTACAAGATAAAGCCAGTATGAACATAGTGAGCTGATTGTATATGATGCTTGAAAACACCATAAATTGACTTATTTTTCCTACATTTCCTAAATCTTATCAAGTTTATAATCATATTTCTTCAAGGAAATCATTAATACAAGTATCTAAAAGTTTGGAAGTTTACCTCCCAACTCTCTACCGATAGCACATCTAAAGGTGGGTTTCCAGCGCATGTTATACACCAGTTTCAGCGGGATTTCTTTCAAACTTAGCATGTCATAGTCCCATAAATGTCAATACAAATTGTACTCTTGAATTTTCATATTTAGGATTGAAAAGGCCAAAAGGGCCCACACTTTCAATAAACAGACCATATGTCAAAACATGCGCCAAATAAAGTTTTCTTACCACTTTTTCATAAATTCTTATTTCTATCAAATTTGTATTGGTTTATTGGTATGTTGCTATACAGATGGTCAGGGAAAATTAGCGGATATGTCACATTTTCATACTTACAAGGATAGAGCCAAAATATGAAAACTTGGTCTGCTATCAGCTGTGTCCATCATTTTAATAATTAACATTAGCATTGGCTTCAATATGTTTTCTATCACTGGGTAAAATTTGAAAATAGAAATAGAAAAGTGTCTCAAGTCTCAAAAACAAGAAGAAAAGAAAATGGGTAATGTAAAGCATAGATACGTAATTATTTGATCATTATTAGATGTGTACGTCTTTTGTTGGCAATTTGAATATATATATATATATACATATAATTCTTAAATGCAGAAATAGCCCTGAAAATAGGGATTTTTCTCGTTATTTTCTTTACCAAAACTTAATATTTGTCGTGTTTTCCGAACATTTGAATAATATGTGAATTAATATACTAAATTTTAATTGCAAAGATTTTTTCTCATCAGATATAAGTCTCTGTTCTCATCAGCGACCTACATGTATATATGTCTCTGTTCTCATCAGCGACCTACATTTATATGACTGTTCTCATCAGCGACCTACATGTATATATGTCTCTGTTCTCATCAGCGACCTACGTGTATATAAGTCTCTGTTCTCATCAGCGACCTACATGTATATATGTCTCTGTTCTCATCAGCGACCTACATGTATATAAGTCTCTGTTCTCATCAGCGACCTACATGTATATGACTGTTCTCATCAGCGACCTACATGTATATATGTCTCTGTTCTCATCAGCGACCTACATTTATATGACTGTTCTCATCAGCGACCTACATGTATATAAGTCTCTGTTCTCATCAGCGACCTACATGTATATAAGTCTCTGTTCTCATCAGCGACCTACATGTATATAAGTCTCTGTTCTCATCAGCGACCTACATGTATATAAGTCTCTGTTCTCATCAGCGACCTACATGTATATAAGTCTCTGTTCTCATCAGCGACCTACGTGTATATAAGTCTCTGTTCTCATCAGCGACCTACATGTATATAAGTCTCTGTTCTCATCAGCGACCTACATGTATATGTCTCTGTTCTCATCAGCGACCTACATGTATAGGTCTCTGTTCTCATCAGCGACCTACGTGTATATATGTCTCTGTTCTCATCAGCGACCTACATGTATATAAGTCTCTGTTCTCATCAGCGACCTACATGTATATACATACATATATATATATATATATATATATATATATATATATATATTTTGTCTTGGTTGAACAACACGTTAATATAATAAGAAATTACACGAATACGTAAAACCTGGTGTATATCTGCATTATGTTGCCAGATGTATTATTAACCTTGAATAAAGACCACAAATGCACCTTTGCCAATGTCTACACGTTATATCTAATATGTATGATAAGGCTTGTAGTAAATTATTGAATACTGAAATATCATATACCTTAACATATCATATGACATCAAAAGGCAGAGTCAACTCGTGTATACGCAAATATAATTCATACAACACATTTTATGCGGAAATATTGTTTTGACACATGGTTGGTGTTGGATCGGGATATATATTTCGTGTCCAGGGATGTTCCCAAATATAAAAAAAAAATCTGCCGGAATGTTCTTGTCCTGATTTACTTTGTGTTCTTCTATTAGAAGAATGTATAATTCAATCAATAATCAATTATGAAGTCACTTAAAACAAATATCTTCTACACATCTGAGAGCAAAATATGCACAAAAATTTAGACAGTGGCTATCTTTCCGGCACTGATATAATGTACATGGTGTCCAAAGCGCCCTGAAGACCTTTAACCTTCACTTATAAAGGTAGGAGAGTAACTGTTTTTTGTTTTCTTTTATTTCAACCCCACCTTTTCAATTTCTTAAGAAACTTAAGTATAAACCCCAGTGTTCCATTTAGACACATGTAAGGGTATTTATGTGAGAACCTAAGTAAGCTAAAAAAAAAAAAAAGACAATCCAGATTACAGAGTCACGTGATAAGCTAGAGTCAACACAGATGATCACATGACTTTACAAGATGGCGGACGAGGATACTGTTGTGCGGGGTTACGTACAAAATATAGTATACCTAAGCTTAGCGCTGTTTGTGGGATATTTTATTTTTAAAGGACAGATCCGCCGATGGCGATTACGGTTTTTTGCCTGGTCGCTGGCAATGCTAGGTTGTAAGAGCAACAAGGTATTCGGTAAATATAAAGTGAAGCTGTTTCATTCAATGGAGAAATTGAAGAACACAGTGGGACCACTGAAAGTTCTGGAGATCGGAGCAGGAGGAGGTGTTAACTTTCAATTTTATCCTTCGGGCACCAAAGTAACCTGTTTAGACCCTAATCCTTACTTTGAATCTTACACTGAGAACAATGTTAAGGACTCTCGTGGTGTAAAGTTGGCTGGTTTCATCCGTGCTTACGGAGAGAACATGGCGGAAATCTCGGACTGTAGTTTTGATGTCGTCGTCAGCACACTCGTTTTGTGCTCGGTCTCGGATCCGGATCGTGTTCTGAAGGAGGTCAAGAGAGTTTTAAAACACGTACGTCATCTATGTCAACATAAGATCTTTATTTGTTCCAATTACTGTATTTAAAAATGAACAGGTGTTTGCCTTAAAAGGGGATGTATATGATATATAGGACATTTTGATGGACAGGTACCACTATCATTCTTCTAGTGCAGAGTTTCCACACTCAACCATCTACCCTATTAAAATAGCTACGTCTGGTTTAAGGGCCCGAAGAAACTCTGGCAGCATTTTGACTGTCAACAAAGTATCAATCAGAAGAAACAATTTTATAGGGACTCAGATGAAGTCCACATTTAAAGAAACAATTTTATAGGGACTCAGATGAAGTCCACATTTAAAGAAACAATTTTATAGGGACTCAGATGAAGTCCACATTTAAAGAAACAATTTTAATCAACTGATAAAGTAGAAATAGTTCAAGTACAGGAAATGATAACCCTCATAAATATCTACATTGATTGCTAATACTATCGAAATCTGTGGTAATAAGGTATTGATATTTACTCAGTGTCAGCTTTAAACTGTTTCATTTCTTGTTGGAAGTCATGATCAGTGATAAAATCTAGCAGGTTGTGATGATTATACAGTACGAAAGACCATGGTTAAAAACAGCTTCAAAACATATATATTCCCACCTGTTAACAAGGTAGAGAAAATATATAAGAACTATGAACAATGCATATTTCACAAGGCATGAATTATGTATCGTTTGTAATTATCATTATATAACATTACATACTGAAATTAACCATGGTTTCTGTCACCAAACCTAGAAGTTCATTTTAATTGGTCATTGTACATGTAACCCTATTAAATACTAGATGCAATATACTGCGGGCTAGAGAGAACTTCTTTTTAGCGTAATTGGTTGTGTGTCAGACTAGTAAGCCAGGGGTCCCATGTTCAAGTCCTGGTGGAGGCATTGAAATAAGTAATAACCTCTGTTACATTGGCACCCATGTAGGGATCCAGGAATGATACTCTGCATTGTCCCACAGACATCACTGTAACCCTTGGGAACTCAAAGACAAGTTATTTTCTGGAGGGGTAATATGTAACCCTGGTTAATACTAGCTGCAATATACTGCTTGGCAAGGGAGAACTTTTCTTTAGCTCGGTGATTTGAGTGTCAGACTAGTGAGCCAGAGGTTCTGCGTTCAAGTCCTAGCATTGAAGTAAGTAATGACCTCTGTATCAAATACAGAAATTAATGATTAATTAAGGTATCAATTTAGTAATATATCAAAAATGTTTATTGGCATGGGTGGATCATAAGAAGATAGGGAGGGATGGCTTATGTTACAAATCAACTTTGGTGACCCTTCCTTGCATAACAGCAGCATTCTTTTGGCCTGGTTGGATCAAACAGACCCCTTGTGAAGGGCAGAGAGGCTTGATGTAGCTTGGTCAGTCATGTGGTTATACATAACAACTTGGTTTGTTGTGTGTGTTTTCTGCGTGCCAGTCCCTCTCCCCAAAATATTTTTGTACCTCATGTCAGAGACATATAATATAAAGGCATTAAAAACGAAGCCCAGTGGTGAACTCTCTGACTTTGGCATTTGTTCTCTTATCCACGAAGTCATCCAATTCCCTTCTTACCTCTGTTAACTAATCTTATCAACCAGTGTTGCTATGCTGTCCACCTTAACAGAACACTGATGTCGTCGGTGAGACAATGCCTAGAAAAAGGAAGAGCCTAGAAAGCAGTAAACCTATAGCCAACCAGCTTTGCTGTATTAACGTGAACTTAGCACTGACCAGAGCCATTTTATCTGTTAGTAAGAAGTGAATCTTATATTCATTATAAAAATAATACTACCCTGTAATAGATTAAAGTGATCTATCACAAAGTAATACTACCCTGTAATAGATTAAAGTGATCTATCACAAAAATAATACTACCCTGTAATAGATTAAAGTGATCTATCACAAAATAATACTACCCTGTAATAGATTAAAGTGATCTATCACAAAATAATACTACCCTGTAATAGATTAAAGTGATCTATCACAAAATAATACTACCCTGTAATAGATTAAAGTGATCTATCACAAAAATAATACTACCCTGTAATAGATTAAAGTGATCTATCACAAAAATAATACTACCCTGTAATAGATTAAAGTGATCTATCACAAAATAATACTACCCTGTAATAGATTAAAGTGATCTATCACAAAAATTACATGAGTCAATCAGAAAGTTACTAAGCTTAATGCCATTTACTAAATTTAAGATTTTCTTCATATTTTCAGCTGAAAGTGGTAAACAACACAGGCTGATATTTCAGTTTTAAATGGCTTGAACATGTACTTTGTTTTATAAAAATCCATAGTCAACAGAATTCTTTTCTCGCAAAAGTTTGCACAATCAATTTGAAAATATTAGTTGTGAACTTGTAGAGAAAAATGGCTTATAAAACCAGCAAGACTAGTTAACATGGTTATAGAGTTGCAATTAGATATAGGCAGGTTCTTATCCCACTGTGTTGTATGTCCCTGCTCACCATTAGCATCAGGAAATTATGGCTTTGCATTACTACAGGCAGAAATATGGCTCTAAGACAAAGTCTATTTGGAGCCCACCCTCTTTATTTACATATTTTTTTTTAATGTTTACCATGCAAAAACCTTTTTATTAATGTTTTTTTTTCATGTGTATTTTACATTTATGTAAATTTAGTTTAAGAACCACGGTTGTAACTAGCATTACATATGTCCACTTAACAAGGTAGAGATACTACATAGAAATTGTAAATATTACATGTTTCCACTTAACAAGGTAGAGATAATACATAGAAATTGTAAATATTACATATTTCTCATTAATTATGTATCATTTGTAATTAATTAACTGCGGTTTCTGTCACCAAAACCTAGTAGTTTATTGTATTATTGTATGAAAAGTCATAATTAATATCAAAATGTTTGGTAATAAGGTATTAATATATAACTCATTGTCAACTATGGACTGTTTCATTTCTTGTTGAAGTCGGTGATAAATCTGGCCATGGCTGAAAAATCACAATATTTAGTTACTCTGGATAGTCTATCAAGTTAATGAGAAATCTGTTCATTGATACTGGCATCATCAAAATTAAATTTTGAATTATTTTAAGAATGTAACCTGAAGTAGTTTAACAAGTCTATCTTATCATAATTCATAATTTACTTTTCTTTTTGCACAGAATGGTAAGTTCTATTTCATGGACCATGTATGTGCACACAATAAAAGAGGCATCATCTACTTCTTTCAACGTTTGTTAAGTCCGATATGGCGTTTGATTGCTGATGGATGTGAACTGACCAGGGATACTGGGTCTTCTGTTAAGGCAGCTGGATTCAAGTTACTAGACATGCAACAATTCACAGCACCAACAAAATTATGTGTTATAAAACCTTGTTGTATGGGTATTGCCACCAAATAAAGCATTAAGTTATAAGAACATATATTCCTGTCTAAAGAGCTCTTAGATTTATAGGACATGGATTTTCTCTATATGATGCACTCTATAAAGGTATGGGGCTCAAGGTTTAAAGACTTTTGTCTATATGTTGCACATTTAGAGCTATGGGGCTCAAGGTTTAAAAGGACATTGTCTGTATGTTGCACCATATGGAGCTATGGGGCTCAAGGTTTAAAAAGACATTGTCTGTATGGTGCACATTTAGAGCTATGGGGCTCAAGGCTTAATAAGACATTGTCTGTATGGTGCACATATAGAGCTATTGGGCCAAGGTTGAAAAAAGACATTGTCTATATGTTGCACCATATGGAACTATGGGGCCAAGGTTGAAGAAAGACATTGTCTATATGTAGCACCATATAGAGCTATGGGGATCAAGATTTTCAGTAAAATATAGGGTGTGCTTGTAAGGAAATGAATAAGGTAACTCCCAGCCTACTGACGTAACATTGTGATATATTTATTTTTAAATATATTAATGAAATAACTGTTTTTAATGAGATTTATACATATTATTCAATGATGTCAGTCTTCAGAGTCACACCAATTTGCAAGCTCATGCAGAGTGGTTTTGCAAATTATATTTTAAAATGTGTGATTATTAAGATGAAGTTTCATGCACCTTGAGTCAACATTAATCAATTGGCAGACTCCTCGTTTTTATTTGGGTTTAAGTTAAATGTGTGTTGTACTGATGTGTACATTTTTCACATTCAAATATTTTAGTGTGGGCTATTTTTCCATATACATGTACGATGTATCATATTACTTCAAAATTTATCAACATTAATGAAATGAAAGAGTAGTGAAAGTCCTATTGACTTTTGACAAGAAGTATATCAGAACTGATAAGACATCGTGTTAATACTACTGGTTTTATACTGAGTTTAAGCTTGTTTTATAATCTTTGTTATTACACTAACTAGATGGAAGTTTAATTTTTGAAAATCCATAAGTATTCATCTCCAATTTTTTATGTTATGGTTGAGATTTTTGTATATTTTATTTTAGTTTTACTATCTTTACGACTGCTGACTTTGAACTTTGCAATAGGTGTTTATGCATTAAGGGAGGTAACTGTGATTGTCTTATGTGCGCAGTCATTGAGTTTTGGGGACATTATTTGAAAATTTGCGGTGTCTTTATTCCTTATCTGGATATGTATAGTTATTCATTTATTTATTTCATTATTTATTTAAATCAAACTTTTGTATGTAATTAAATCTGACAATCAGCAGTCTCATGTAGCCAAACCTTATTATCTCAAACTCATATAACTCAAAGACCCTGTTTAATTCAAAGTATTACCTTAGTCCCTACTTTCCTTAACACAAAACATTCCATGGTACCACAGAGTTTGAGATAACAAGGTTTGACTGTATGTCTTCATGTCATTTATATTTACCACTTATAGGTACTATACAAATACAGAATGATAGTTTCATTAATATATTAAACAGTAATTTTAGTAATCAATTTTAATGTACATTTAAAGAGGTCATAATTTATTTCAACGCCTCCGCTGGGATTCAGATCCCTGTTTTTATAGTTTTACTCTTAACTGATCCTGCTCTCAAAGCCAAGTTGTGTTTTACCATGTTTTACAAAGGTTACAAGCAAATTTATGTATATGTTTTAATTTTAGTGTAATCATTATTGTTAGTGTATTTAGTTTTGTTGGAGCATCAATGATGTGAAAATAATTTTGTCATGGGCATATTCCTATCATCAGATTTTATTATATTTGTGTATACTTGCCAACTTGTTAGGATTTTCAAAAGGGAATTGTGCCTTTTCAAATCTGCAAGGCTCAAAAATAGTATTTTACAAAATTATAACTTACAACAAAATATTTGTAGTTGCTTTTTATGGTGCCTGTGTTTTAACATTCTGATGGCATTTCAAATTAATTTTATGTCTAATTAATTTGATTTGATGTCTAAAATTGAGGTGAAAATTAGGAGTCCCCCGGCTTATTGGAAATCAAGGGTTGACGGATAAATGCTTGTACTTTTCTTAGTCTGACGTCAGTACCCAAATTCTTACAATTTTTGTGGGCCATTGTTGTCCATGAGAGAAAACATTTTAGTCTGATTACTATGATTATAAGGACTACCTGTTATTGTGATATGTAAGCTTGTAATCAGTATCATTGAATATCAACAGCATTACAATCATATTGTACCATTTTTTAATGTTTTTTTCACATGTTAACAGTGTCATATATTGACAGTATTGTTTGTTAAAAGGAAATGCACACATATTTGTGTATAAAATAAATTTGATACAATCTAATCCATTGTTATCGAAATAAAGTGTTATCTTATTTCTTAGTTAGAGTGTATCTGTTATAGATATAATAGGTCAAGGTCTCGGTCAAGGCAGGTCCACTTCACACTATGGCTGGTCTATGACAATCTCCAGGCTTAAGTAAGACTGAGAGAAGGAAACAGGGTTTTTCACAATGATGTAAAGTTTCATTTTGTGAGATTAATTTTTCACACTATTTTCAACCTCAGTACTTAGGATTATAGTACAGCTGAAAAAGTTGGTTGACTCCTTACCATCTGGTACACTACATAGGTCAGTGCTAGCATGCCCCACACTCATCATTTGTCTGATGAATGTAATCATCGAAACGCCACACTCTAATCCTCTACTGGTTGTGTTATAAGATGAAGGTGACCGTGTAGTCATCGAAACGTCATACTCTAATCCTCTACTGGTTGTGTTAAAAGATAAATGTGACCATGTAGTCATCGAAACGTCACACTCTAATCCTTTACTGGTTGTGTTAAAAGAACTTCTTTGTTACCAGTTGCCAGTTGCTTAAAGCTTTCTTGAAGATAAAGAGTCGACAGACATATGGTTACATAGGATTACTTTCTCCAACAATAAATTTGATTGTGACATAAAATAAAGAAAAAAAATCCTCAATGAGCTAAAAACAATGCTTTTATTTCAACATACATGTATTCAAAACAACTGAATTATTAACAATTTCTCTGGTAAAGTCCATAAATGTTCCAACGTGGTCAACATTTGGAAGTGATTAATTAGACTTTTTAACTTTTCATACTTCAGGATTGGTGTAAGCCTGATGAAATTTTTTTTCACCCCAGGGGTCAATGTTATCCTCTGAGGGTACCACATTCCCAATTTTATCATATTTCTACCAACATTTAGGGAAAATATGCCATCAGGAATAGAAAAATATACTTTGTATGATTGTTCCCAAGTTTTCAACCAATTCCAATCAGTTTATTTACATTTTTGGGATGATCAACCTTAGTGATAACATATTTGTCTTGAACCCAGCTAAAGGACCATGAATGTTTTTTCCTAGTGGGAAGAAAGGTACTCCAGTATCCTCCTACAGTAAGGCCCTTCACATGCTTCTATTTAAGGCAACAAAAGAGCTTAATGTAACTTGTTTCATAAATACTCACTGATTTAAGTTTAATTTTATCATCCTCTGTATATTTATATGCATAAATGCCAGAGCTAAAACATGAAGATTGAAAGGAATATAAGAATGTCCATAGAATTCTGAACACCAGGTATGTTGATGAGAGGAATATAAGAATGTCCATAGAATTCTGAACACCAGGTATGTTGATGAGAGGAATATAAGAATGTCCATAGAATTCTGAACACCAGGTATGCTGATGAGAGGAATATGTTGATATTTCTTTCATATGTCAACAATAAAAGACTTTAAAAAAAAAAAAAAAAACAGATTGGCAAAATACTTCAGAATAAAGCATAAATATGTAAAAAATAAATATTTTGAAAAGAACATTGCATGCGATATATGCGACAATGGGAGACAACTCTGATATCCTTGTGCATGAAATATTGCAATATACATTGAAGGTGAATTTAATCAGCTATTGATATTCTTGAGAACACAATACTAAAAAAAAGTCTGTTTTGTTATCAGAATTTTATGATACTAACAAAGTTCTGTTACTCAAGAAGAACACTCATTAAAAATGGTAAACATGAAGATTGAATCTGGAAAACCCTTACATAAAGTCGGATATTTCAACTGATTCAATCTAGTAAACCCAGAGATTAAAACTGGTAAACCTAGAAATTAAAACTGGTAAACCTAGAAATTAAAACTGGTAAACCCAGAAATTAAAACTGGTAAATTAAAACTAGTAAACCTGCTGATGAGAAGAATTAAAAATGTAAACCCAGAATTAAAACTGGTAAACCAGGATTAAAACTATGTTAAACCTAGAGAATTAAAATTTCCATAAAATTCTGAAACCTAGAAATTAAAACTGGTAAACCTAGAAATGTTGATGAAAGGAATATAAGAATGTAAACCACAGAGTTAAAACCAGGTATGCTGAAATTAAAACTGGTAAACCCAGAGATTAAAACTGAGAGGAATATAAAACTGGTAAACCTAGAAATTAAAACTGAAACACCAGGTATGCTGATTAAAACTGGTAATATAAAACTGTAAACCTAGAAATTAAACACCAGGTATGTAAACCTAGAAATTAAAACCCAGGAATATAAAACTGGTAAACCTAGAATGTCCAGAAATTAAAACTGGTAAACCTAGAAACTGAACACCAGGATAAAACTGGTAAACCTAGAGATTATGTTGAAATTAAAACTGGTAAACCCATAAAACTGTCAACAATTAAAAGACTTTAAAAAAAAACAGATTGGCAAAATAAACTTCAGAATAAAGCATAAATATGGTAAAAAATAAATATTTAAAACTGAAAAGAATTAAAACTGGTAAACCTAGCATTAAAACTGGCCTAGATATATGCGACAATGGTAAACCTAGACTCTGAAATATCCTTGTGCCTAGAAATTAAAACTAGTAAATATTAAAACTGCAATATACATTGAAGGTAAACCTAGAATTTAATCAGCTATTGATATTCTTGAGAAACACAATACTAAAAAAAAAAACTAGTCTGTTAAAACTTAAACCCAGAAATTAAAACTCAGAATTTGAAAACTGATAAACCCAGAGATAACAGAAAAACTGGTAAACCTAGAAATTAAAACCTAGAAATTAAACCCAGAGATTAAAACTGGAAACCTAGAAATTAAAACTGGTAAACCCAGAAATTAAAACTGGTAAACATAGAAAATTAAACCCTAGAAATTAAAACTCTGGAAAACCCAGAGATTAAAACTGGAAATTAAAAACCTTAAAACTAGAAATTAAAACTGGTAAACCCAGAGATTAAAACTGGTAAACCCAGAGATTAAAACTGGTAAACCTAGAAATTAAAACTGGTAAACCCAGAGATTAAAACTGGTAAACCTAGAAATTAAAACTGGTAAACCTAGAAATTAAAACTGGTAAACCCAGAGATTAAAACTGGTAAACCCAGAGATTAAAACTGGTAAACCTAGAAATTAAAACTAGTAAACCTAGAAATTAAAACTGGTAAACCTAGAAATTAAAACTGGTAAACCCAGAGATTAAAACTGGTAAACCTAGAAATTAAAACTGGTAAACCTAGAAATTAAAACTGGTAAACCTAGAAATTAAAACTGGTAAACCCAGAGATTAAAACTGGTAAACCTAGAAATTAAAACTAGTAAACCCAGAGATTAAAACTGGTAAACCCAGAGATTAAAACTGGTAAACCCAGAGATTAAAACCCGTAAACTAAGATATTAAAACTGGTAAACTGGGAGATCAGGTTTGCTTAACCCAGAGATTAAGTCTCCTAAACTCAAATCTGGTAAATCTAGGGACTAAGTTTGATAAATACTGTTCATTCTGGCAAAAACCCAGAGATTAAGACTGGTAAACCCTGTGATTAAGTCTGGTAACCCTGTGATTAAGTCTGGTAAATTGAGAGATTAAGACTGGTAAACCCTGTGATTAAGTCTGGTAACCCTGTGATTAAGTCTGGTAAACCCTGTGATTAAGTCTGGTAACACCCAGATTTAGTCTAGTAAAACTCCTGATTAAGTATGGTGACCCCATGATTAAGTCTCGTGAAGCAGACTTGATCTATAACAATGTAACAAAAGGTAGTCCTTTAACCTTGAAGGTAGAGTTAGTTTGGTAAACCTCCAGATTTAGTTTGGTAAACCAATAGACTGGACCTATAACATGGTAGGTAGTGACAGAAGATAGTCCTTTAACATTGAAGGTAGAGTTAGTTTGGTACACCTCTAGATTTATTTTGGTAAACCAGTAGACTGGACCTATAACATGGTAGGTAGTGACAGAAGATAGTCCTTTAACCTTGAAGGAAGAGTTAGTCTGGACACTTTATCCAGACTAACATTAGACAGAATTTTAGATTTACAAATAAACTGAAGGTTCAATTTACGTGGCAGCTGCCAGAATGAAATGTATCCATCTGCTGTACTTAAAACAGCTTGCTCTCCAGTGGACGTGAAAGTGATGTTGAGGATGGAGGCATGTGGTCCAAAGGAGGTGTGAAGAGATGGAAGACTGTCCTTCATACTAAATCTATAGAGGAGACAACAGGTGTCTGGAGAAAACAGTTGTATCATGTAGTTATGTAGGGCCACTCCTACAAATTGACCATCACAGGAAAATCGGACAACATCAATGGAATGTTCCCCACATACATCCTCTGTCCGACACAGTACTATACCTTCCTGTACGTCAATTATGTACAAGAGGCGATTCTTAGTACCTATGGCAACCATTCGATGATTTGACATAGGATTAAAATCAAATGTTTTCTCTCTGCTGAGCTCTGTACTTGGAATCACATCCGAGAAAACATCACATACACAGTTCTGTGACTTTCGTGACACAATTATAAGTTGGCCATGTGATATCCCTGCAGCCACATAAAGACTGTCTGGAGACCACTTACATACAGTGTGTTCAAGGTTCAACCTAGAACCCTGAAAGTCTTGATTTATCTTGTAACAGTTTATTATACTATCTGCCCGAGTGATAAGATTTGAGTCATATATTAGTAAGTCATACTGAAACTGTCTACTGGTTCGTGCCATGATGGCGAAGTAGCGACCATTTGGTGATACAGCAACATACTTATACGCCCGAAAGTATATATCATGGGCCCGACTCAGAAACGTCATCCTTTCTAGTGACATCACTTTGATATCCCCACTGGTAGAGCCGGGGTACACGATGTTGTCTCCATCCGGGAATGACTGTACCTTTGGGAACGATGCTACAGATGCTTGACGATAGTAACAACACTCTGAAAATATCAATGTATTAGGCGATGGTTACGAAACACAACTCTTTTCATACTCAGTTTTGGATCATGTGGAATGGTAGACCTCATACATCAGTTTTAGCAAGCTTTGAATATAAATTGTAAGTGACAAATACATTTATCATACAGGCGTCCATTGATATTGTATTTCAGCAATGTATGATGTTGAAGCTCTTCTTATAAACATATATACAAAGTGGTTTGTAGACTCTTCAAACTGTTTTATGTTGCTCTTTATTAGATACAACTTTTTTTAAAAAGATTTCTTTAACTTTCCTTCCTGCACTTTTATATATGTGACAAAGAATTGTACTGTGGCCCTATGAAGTTTGATCATAATTCCTCATACACTGCTAGAGTGGTTACAAAAATTTCATGAAAAACCTCAGACAGACAGACATGTATGTACTTACTTTTTTGTCTCCAGACAAATTAGACAGACAGACCTGTAAATACTGATTTACAAATGTTTTTGTCTCCTGACAAATCAAAGAGACAGACTTGTATATACTTACGGACGTTTTTGTCTCCAGACAAATTAAACAGACAGACCTTTATATACTTACTGATGTTTTTATCTCCAGACAAATTAGACAGACCTGTATATACTTACGAATGTTCTTGTCTCCTGACATATCAAACAGACAGATCTTGCCAGGCTGAATGGCCCGACTGACGGTCAGTCCCTGGTTAGGTTGTATGGTAAATGCTGAGCAGGTAGTGACCATAGTGCTGTCATTGTTTGGGAGAAATTCACAGTCTGTCCACCAGTAGAAGTCATTCTCTTCTTCTACAAAGAGAGTACTATTGCAATCTAAAGACTTTACTGTACATATACTTGTATATAATCTAAATCAAGGAGGGGTACCACACCTGTGTAATTATGATTGATGATTTGTCAGTTTGTCAGTAGTTTTTTCCCCAGGTTTAATGAGTTGTAGGCACCAGGTAATTACAGAGTTTATTATCTAATTGCTATAACTCACAGACGACATGTGAAAGGGCTATAAATCTTTCTCAGTTATAATTGCTTCTATCATCTATTACTTAATTAAAAAGAAATAGGAATTTTATTCTTAATGATAACGAGCAAAAATCACACCTGAACTTTATGATGTAAAAATGACCTTCACATTGGTCACCGATGACATATAAAAAAGCTTCTGAATTGTATCTACAGCTAAAATGATGAATTGTCATATTCACATACTTCAAAAGGTGACAAAACATGTGCTTGTGTTAATTCAAAATTTCTATAAAGTTAAAATGTATGATTAAACATTCTATACAAAAGTATGATGTGTATGAAATGTTTGATATGATGTGAATGTTTCCACACAGATGTATGATGTGTATGAAATGTTCGATATGATGTGAATGTTTCCACACAGATGTATGATGTGTATGAAATGTTCGATATGATGTGAATGTTTCCACACAGATGTATGATGTGTATGAAATGTTCGATATGATGTGAATGTTTCCACACAGATGTATGATGTGTATGAAATGTTCGATACGATGTGAATGTTTCCACACAGATGTATGATGTGTATGAAATGTTCGATACGATGTGAATGTTTCCACACAGATGTATGATGTGTATGAAATGTTCGATATGATGTGAATGTTTCCACACAGATGTATGATGTGTATGAAATGTTCGATACGATGTGAATGTTTCCACACAGATGTATGATGTGTATGAAATGTTCGATACGATGTGAATGTTTCCACACAGATGTATGATGTGTATGAAATGTTCGATACGATGTGAATGTTTCCACACAGATGTATGATGTGTATGAAATGTTCGATACGATGTGAATGTTTCCACACAGATGTATGATGTGTATGAAATGTTCGATACGATGTGAATGTTTCCACACAGATGTATGATGTGTATGAAATGTTCGATACGATGTGAATGTTTCCACACAGATGTATGATGTGTATGAAATGTTCGATACGATGTGAATGTTTCCACACAGATGTATGATGTGTATGAAATGTTTGTATGAATGTTCGATTCGATGTGAATGTTTCCACACAGATGTATGATGTGTATGAAATGTTCGATACGATGTGAATGTTTCCACACAGATGTATGATGTGTATGAAATGTTCGATACGATGTGAATGTTTCCACACAGATGTATGATGTGTATGAAATGTTCGATACGATGTGAATGTTTCCACACAGATGTATGATGTGTATGAAATGTTCGATACGATGTGAATGTTTCCACACAGATGTATGATGTGTATGAAATGTTCGATACGATGTGAATGTTTCCACACAGATGTATGATGTGTATGAAATGTTCGATGATGTGAATGTTTCCACACAGATGTATGATGTGTATGAAATGTTCGATACGATGTGAATGTTTCCACACAGATGTATAATGTGTATGAAATGTTCGATACGATGTGAATGTTTCCACACAGATGTATGATGTGTATGAAATGTTCGATACGATGTGAATGTTTCCGATGTATGATGTCTATGAAATGTTCGATACGATGTGAATGTTTCCGCACAGATGTATGATGTGTATGAAATGTTCGATACGATGTGAATGTTTCCACACAGATGTATGATGTGTATGAAATGTTCGATACGATGTGAATGTTTCCACACAGATGTATGATGTGTATGAAATGTTCGATACGATGTGAATGTTTCCACACAGATGTATGATGTGTATGAAATGTTCGATACGATGTGAATGTTTCCACACAGATGTATGATGTGTATGAAATGTTCGATACGATGTGAATGTTTCCACACAGATGTATGATGTGTATGAAATGTTCGATACGATGTGAATGTTTCCACACAGATGTATGATGTGTATGAAATGTTCGATACGATGTGAATGTTTCCACACAGATGTATGATGTGTATGAAATGTTCGATATGATGTGAATGTTTCCACACAGATGTATGATGTGTATCAAATGTTCGATATGATGTGAATGTTTCCACACAGATGTATGATGTGTATGAAATGTTTGATATGAAACAACATACTTTGCCTTCCAATATACCTTCTATCAACAATGGTTGGGCACAGCTATGGGTAGCCCGGTGTCTCTAATTGTGGCCAACTTATTCATGGAACACTTGGAGAAAGAGACTATAGCCATGGTCCACGAAAGATGCAAACTCAGTCTGTGGAGGTGGTATGTTGATGACATATTGGAAGTAGTAAAAGTCACAGAAAGATTTGGCTGAGCATATGAATACCGTAGACAACACCAACAGCATCAAATTCTCCTGTGAGGAAGAAATCAATGGCACTATGCCGTTCCTTGATACACTTCTGGTAAAGAAAGATGGTGGTACTATCACAGTGTTGGTCTATAGAAAAAGATGCACACAGACCAATACCTCAACTTCTTATTGCACCACCCTTTACACCAGAATTGTACGACTTTTTCTCAACAGATGTGAAACGATTGTCACAGAAGAACAAGAACCAATTAACATCCACAGTGCCATGAAAACATGAAGGTACCCTAACTGAACAATCTAGAAAGTTAACAATGAATTTGATGTAAGCAAAAAGACTAAGAGACAAAACACATCGAAGGCTTGTCAAAAACAATTCGGAGGGTTTACTGTGGTCATGGCATTGCAGTGGCCAGGAAACCTCACAAGACACTCTGAAATATCCTAGTCCACCCTGAGGAAACAGGCAGGAGATTTAGGGTCCAACTCAATGAAAATTAAGAAGACCTTGAATCCCAAGAAGGCAAAAACTTCACAAGATCAGAGCGAAAACATTCACAGTCACAGATCAATAAATCTGCACATACTGATCATTTCACACAGCATTGACTGGGAAATATCAAAAATAGACGACAGGGAAAAAGACCATTTCAGACGGTTGGTTAAAGAAGCCATCTGGATATGCTGCAGTGGACAAATACTTAATAGGGATGAGGGGGACCACAGACGCTCGCACATCTATGACCAAGTGTTAAACAAAGCTTACCTGAATTAACTACAGTACATTGTCACCATTTGGTGTATTTTGTTGGTCTACAATCTGTTTACCCTCTAATCACATCGTTATCAACCTCAGCGTACATAGGATTAAAGTGCAGCTGAAAAAGTCAGTGGATTCATACCATCTCGTACACTACGTACGTCAGTGCTAGTACGCTCCATAATGGTCATTTGTCTGATGAAGGTGACTGTGTAGTCATTGAAACGTCAAACTCTTATCTTCTTATGTTATAAGAACTTCTATTCTATTGACATTACCAACCTAAAGAAAATGTTTCAAAATGTTTAATATGAATGTTTCTACACAGATGTATGTTGTGTATGAAATGTTTAATATGACAAGTTTGTTTCTACACAGATGTATGACGTGTTTAAAATGTTTTACTGTAAAACTTGTTACAGTCCACCAAATATTGTCAGGTGTGTGTGTGTGTGCTAAAGAAAAACTGAATGAAAGCACAAGCTAAAAAATGATTAACACATAAAACTGACCAATGACATTAGGTACAGCTTTGACCCTGGTTATCAGAGAGCCTGCTGGTCTGTTCCAATGTACTGGGAAGGGTTTGTAGGTGTAAACAGGAACAGCTTTTTCACCTTCTGTGTGGCAGCTACTTCTTACTATCACGATCTTTGGTTTGTTGAAGGCTACTCCCATCCTGAACTCTAAGAGAGCTCCCAATATCTCACATCACTGTGAACATGAAGAAATTTAATTTTCAATTAATTACTTGTCTAACAAAATGTGCAGCAAAATAATGCAGATTTTTTTACCTTTTTATTCTTATATTTGAATACCATAAAGAAAGATAAGTTCCACTCTAACAGATTGGTAACAACATTGGACTCGTGAGATGCCTGGGAATCTCAAAGGTATCTTTCCTTACAGACAAATCCTTTAAACTCATTACACATTGCTGTACATGTAGATCCAAAAAGTATGTTCTCAATTAGTCCAAAGTATTCTGACAAGACAAAATATAATTGCAGAGAGATAGTCAGAACCCTTTGGACTAGTTCACAACCTGACTAAATGTATTCAACTTTGAGTAATTTTCTTTCTCAATATAATTGAAATTTGATGTTCAAATTAACTAGAAACGATCATTCATACATGGTCAATTTGAACATCTAATTTGAGTTATATTGTTCCTTTCTCTGTTGAAGATAAAGTCTTCAAAAGGAGATGTTTTTCTTACGTAACATTTGATTCCATCAGCTTGTCAGTGATCTTTGCAATATTGATATCATTGTGACTGATCAAGCTCAGACAGAAGTGTTACATAACTACTTTACTGTATTACAGTTCAATGTATGGCCACGATTATACAATGTACTGTATATTTCTGAGTAATAGACTTACATATATACTAAACTATCACTCAAATGAAAAAACGTTACTTTTTCTATACCGATGTTGTAGCATACCCCTAGGCCTATATATATGTAACTTAGTAATCCAAGAAACCTTACCAATGCAGTGCAGGCTGATCATGTAGTTCACAACACGTTACCTAACAAGCTTAAGAATAAAGTATGACTTATCACTATAATTCTAGGTTACATTCAATAAAAATGTATTTTGTTGTGTGCATATCTAATCAAGATAAACGCCACTGAAAGTTGAACGATTCATGGCTGGCCAATATTTGCTTGGGTTCAGATCCTGCATGTCGTTGGTAAGCATTCGTTGTTTGTTTACATACGAGAGTGATTTCCCTTTACCTACCGGAAACTCTTGAGAAATACCCACACAAAGCCTCTTTACGAACTGAATCGACTAAAAAACTTACGAAATTAACTGAAAGACTATAGATCAGCATCTAAAATAACTGCGAATATGATGCAATTTTACTGTCGTCTTGATTCCAGAAGAAACGGACATATAGAAGCTCGCGGTGTTATTTTGAAGTTAAAGAAAATATATCCAAAAAAGGGAAAGAAGATGTTTGTGTTTTAGATTAATTTTGGCTAGCGAAGTTTAGTTTAGTTTTTAATCTTAAGTTTAGATTGCCGTAAACAATTTTTATTTCGTTATTCACCTTAAATTGAACCGCATTACCTGTGGAAATTGGCGGTAAAATATCCTCAGTATTATAAATCCATAAAATGTATTATAATATTATTCACCAGTGTTCGTAAGTTGGATCCCACTGTATTGTGTCATTGATGTGGTATATTATAATATGATGTTATAACACATACAATTCTGCATTGCAATGCAACGCAACGGATGAGATCCGTGATGAATTTTGGTGACATTTGTGTGTGGAGATGGGCATGGATTTTATCGCATATTTACACAGTTCATTAGATTTTGACTTAACAAATATTTTATTAGGTGGTACAGTGAATTATGAAATGTCAAAGGATGAGGAAGAATATTTCAGAATAGCATGCTTAAGATTTTTCTATCGAATGTTTAAAGACTACGAACCGATCAATTACAATTAACTTCTCATTGTACATATATACCTTTATTGCACGAGATTGTAATGGTTTTTTTATCTTTCTTTATACGCTGATTGTATGTTAATTAATTCTATTTATGTATCTTCAATTTTGGAGGAAATAAAGAGAATAACAGTATCAGTACCCGAACTTTGCCTCAGATATGACATAGATTATGTAAATAAGCTTGTAAAACATGACTTAGTTATTACAATAATGTTAAGCATATAGTATATATATTATAAAAGATACTTATTTAATTGATTATTGATTTCTTCACTCGTTCAATTTTTTTTCTATTTTTTTTTCAATCGGCGTTTTTGACGTTCATTGGAATTTGATATTTAAGACATTATTTTGAGGTTCCTTACGAGGAAGGAAATGACAGGAAAGTAAAATGTATGCACGTGACCCAGCATTAGAGGATTTGTACCAGTCAACCGTAAGCGACACTATTTGAAAAATAGAAAAGAGATGAAACGACCTGATTAATTAATAATGGTAATAACCTTTGACATGTGTTCAGGGACTTCGGTTTACTGACCTGTGTATTTCAGTTATTTTCGTGTTTAAAGCAATAATCTTAGATGAAATATTTTGAGGAAACTGAACAGACCATATGTATTGTTTATGTCCAATCAAGCCCTGAGCATAGATCTCCACAGGGATCAAATGAGCAAATCGTAATAATGTGGGCTCATCGTCACAGCAGCACATTATAATGATTTTTGCTAATTATCAACACATTTTCATCGCCATTATAATTATCAACACTATTTCATCCCCATGACAACACAATGCCATCACCATAACATATTTTCATCACCATGTGAACACCATTTCGTGGCCCATAATTGCCTGTTAGCAGCTTAATTTTGATTGCAACATAAGTTTCATCTTCATTTTTTGTTTTTGTTTTTTTCGTTTTTGTAACAACAGTGTTATTTCCATCACATCGTTGTTTCACCTTCATAACGATACTGTTTTATATCCCAGTAATATAGATTTCCATAGCAACACACATTTGAACTATATAATTATCTCAATACTATTCATTAATACTTTGATTTTTCGCGTCCATGTATACATATTAAATAGGTTTGATTCTAGTGTCGACTATGAGCTAGTGACGTTGTCGTGCAAGTCGATCGATAGATGCGCGTACTTCATACGCTCTCAGATTTTAAGAAGCGCGTGACGACCGAGATATCGCGTATTCTGCACGCGCAGAGCGATGGGGGCATACTCGACAATCAATAATTGCACTCCCATAAAATGTAGAGGAAATGGCGATATTACATTGAAGTGTGCGACGAGCTTAGAGACATCGTTTTGTAACGAAAGAGATGGGTTTTAATTTGAACTCACATTTTATGTATGAAAATAACCCTTTGTGAACGATTATATTGGTAACATCTTTAAATTTTGGCATCAGAGATGAAGAGAAATAACACATAAGCATATCGATACTTTATTGATTGATTTCTTTAATGATTGGTATTGACATACAACTTTTTGTGATTTATTGGACAAAATAAATTACGTTTAAAGTATACAAATGTTATCAGGGACAGATGTAGACATTTTTAGTAGGTAACGTGTTTTTTTCATGTGTGTATATGAATATATATATATATACACGTACGTCCTAAGTATATAACTGAGAAGTTTTTTTGATAGTTAGACTTGGTAGCTCTTTTGACCCGGGGCCCTAACCTATCTTATCACCGAGTACATCTGAATGTATATACCCTAGAATCCGGGAAATGTTCAACGTTGTTGACAAAAAGTATGATAAACAATATATAGATTGCCTGTCAGAAAATCGGTCTTAATTGATATACCTGTCAGCGATTAGCGATCGATGACGCAAAACCACCCGGGGGCAGCGTGCTATAGTTTTAGGGGCCGGATAAATAATACAAATATTTTGTAACAGTCTTCCACCTTAACTACAGCCGTTGGTCATAAAATAAAGATTTGTTTCATAAACTCTGAAAAAAAAAAGTGAAATGTTGTTCTGGTCAGTGTTTATTTACCCCACTACGAGCAACTATTCATACGTACTTCAACATCCTTTACTCTTACCGAAATGAAAATATGTCATGTTTGCAGTACTTTAAAGACAAGGTACATGCTGTAATTCAAAAGTTGACGAAGGATTAATGACATATACGATGTTTGTATAGTGCATTTTCTCTAATATATCATACGTGTAAACGACCACGTGTTTACTTTTACATCATGTGTATAATTAGAACCGTTGGCACTAAAATACTTCCGGTAAGTCTTATTGAACGATCGCGTGATAGTCATGTGACTGTACACGAAGTGATGAAATATTTTTTGGAAATTTTACAATATGTAGTGTTAAGTACAATGAATAGGTACCTGGATAATAAGCATGTTTTTAATACAGACTCCGCCTACCGTATTAGAAGTTCATTTTTCAATAAATCATAGTTAACTTTGGTCATTTGTGTTATTAAAATCAACAAGAGAATGAAATTACGGCAACATTAAAATAATACGTCATGATTTAGTGTACGGAGATGATATGAACCCTCCCTTGGCTATAGCTATATATAGATTATCCTCAAACGACTTGTTCAGTAAACTCAATATCCGGTCAAAATGCCAGACACACCTCCATGATGGAGCGGTTTCATTTTCGTCGATTGCCTTATAAGGGCGTGTCCTTTACATAAAATACTTTTACACGTTTATTTGTTTATTCCGCTTTTATGAACCATATTTAAGTTTGATATAGTTTTATATAAAAACATGTAACATTGCAGGTGAGTTTGATTAAATTCACATGATCATGTCGATATTGCGTTTAGAAAATAGCACGTATTTAAAATAACATATTTGATTTGCTTGAGAATGTATAAAAAATGGATTGTGAACACTATTTAGTAAGAAGAGAGCTGATAACTTTGGTCACTTTGTAAGGTAGCATTGGAAAACTATGATTCATTTAAAAGTATTAAATATAGGAACAATATTATGAAGTCTGTGGTAAAGTTAACTGCAATAAAATAAGTGTTTGGTCACGGTAATTTAACTAAGATAATATCCGAATAACTACAAATTATCATCACCCACTGATAGAATTGTGACGTGCAATCTTAATTCTTGTAACACATCGTTTGATAAATAATATTTACATTTATGTATATATGGTAATAAGAAAGCAAAACACACGCGGACATGTGACCAGGAAGTCAAATGAAGATACATGTCCCCTCCGGACATCTTGTGACGTACATGTGACCAGATATTTGTTTGACGTAGGTAATTTGTCCAATAAACAAATACAAGTTAATCTGGGAATATCCGTGGTCTCCGTCAACTTTGACCGACTTCCCATGACACTCCTCCATACCTTTTGATCTAGATTGGTAATGCACAGGAGCTCTTTTCTGTTGATTGTTGAAAGACTGTTAAAAGTCTAGCAAAATAGGACATACCCATAAACTTCAGGTCATGCCGGAAGTTAGTTATTTGTCACTGTTCTGTAGAAACGAGGTCCTGTGGTGTAGGTAGCAGTCCCCAGTTTCATGTATCTCCTTTAAATTAAGGAAATCTTAACTACCATAGAAAATAAAAAGTCCTTGCCTTATGTAATGCTTTTCTATGGGTAATCATAAGTTCGTGAAGCTGGGGCCACTGATAGATCATCAAATCAGACGATATGCATTGTTAAATAAAACAACCTTGTATATGTCATCTCTCGACATGTTTGTAGCAAAGAGGCATACTAAAAAAATCATTAAATTTATGTTGGGGCCAGCTGGTGCAGGTATCTAAATTAACTCGAGGCACTCCATCATGCAGTGGATAATGCTAAAGTGAATTAAAATTCATTATGATAATATTATAGACTTGCTATGCATGCATGCAATTATTATTACTAAAATTAACATAGTTGAAAACAATGCTAATTCGAAGGTAATTTACATATGCATTTATAGAGTGTGTTCGGTACATGCACGATGAGCACTGAATTACCTCAGTCCATGGCTGTGCAGGCTGTCATTTTGGTGGAACATGGGAGACTTTGGGCAGAATTTCATGTCTGAACATGTACATGTGTAATTGTGTACTGGAAGACTCCGTCCCATCTCCCTATCACATTTGAGGGAAATAAATAGCATGTAACCTAATGTCAGTCTGACTGTAGAAACAACACAGAAGGTAGCCGAGATTATGAAAGAAATACATATGTAGATAATTCTGTCGAATGTCACAAACAAGTGAATATATATTTTACAAAATCTGAAAGTGCACATCATTAGACTATTGCTGGGAATTCCCATCCTATTTATAGGACATCATCATTGCATGGTAAATCTGGAAACCACCTAAATTGAAATGTAATGAACTACAGCAGAATATTTGAATTAGTTCAAAAGATAACCAATATAACATCAGGAAAGCATCCAACCTTGATAATCAGTCTGGTAAGTTTCATTCTAACCTAAAATTGTTAACATCACAGATATTAATATGTCACCAATCCAATACATGGCTCCCTTCAGTATGCGATACCTCAAAATAACACAGTATTGCTGTATTATTGGAGATTGTGTATCAAACTAGTATTTTGTTTTAGTTAAAAAGATGTGTAGTCAGGTCATAAACCATTCCTGATAGAAAAATTCTTAAAGTCATTAAACTGGTGTCTGCATAATTCAAATTTGTTTTTGTCATCAAGTTAGCTTTCAATGCTGCAGCAGTCAGTTTCCAGTCAGTTTAAATTAAGAAATGCATATTGTCATAGAGTCCTTGTCTTCCCACAGTCCAGCAATCAGAATTCTGATATTCATTGTTACTGGTCTACCGATCTTAAATGGCCTCGGTGGTGTAACCTCGTTAGTAAAAAAGAATCTTGATATCAAACTTTTAAATTTTTCTGAAAATAAAAGGTTTTTTTTTGATATTACATATTTTAAGCTGAGGATCTAGATTTGAAAGATCATAGAGGTTACACCACATCCGAGACACATACAATACATCATTTCTCTTATCACACGCAACCATTTAAAAAAAACACAGAAAAGAATTCTGCAAAAATATCAACATTTAATTTTATATAAAAGTTTTAAATTATGCAAAATAACATACAAAGCTTTGATTTGAATGAATCTTTGTAATAACATGATAATGATTTCATAATACAATGACAAAGGTATTGTGATGTAAACCCGGTGATCCACACTATACCTATGAACAATAATAAATGTGTTATTTACAAGACTTGACTGGTAATGAGGCATAAACTGATAATGAAACAATATCACAATTTGCAGTCTTGGAAATAGTTCTCTAATTTACCTTTCTATCACTTCTTCCAAAGTAAATATCTCCCATCCCTTGTACCTATATTAACCCATGTACATTATTAAGCACTTTAAATGCAATTCTACAAGAACGTGAAGGAAGTACTGTGCTTTCGAATCATGTTATCATTACTTATCAATGAACCAAATGATTTTATCTTTACAAAAAGAAAAAAGATCCATCTTCGAAGAATGTGACAATTGGGATAAAACAGAAACCTTTTTGGAGACAACGCAAACAATATCGACCTGCATCACATTCATGTTTACACAATTGGCACTGGCAAAATTCTGTCTTCAAGTCGATAGGTTATTATCAAAGTTTTTGTTCTGAATTTAATATTAAATTTATAGTAATTTACTGCACTAATACAGAAAAATATTATCAGAATAAAAACTTTAAAATGTACGTATCAACTTTCATAATGTTTTTCGAACACAATTAAGTTCTTTAGTCCACACACTGGAAGGCACATTCAGAAATTCAGAGAGTTTGTCATCATTATCTGACAACCACTGCTGACATGTTCAATAATTTGCTGCTTCAGTTTACACACTTGGTCCCTGAGTGATGAGGCTGTTGAAGCCAAATTTGAATTTTGTCCTTTCAAGTCTGACACTCTATCTTCCAATCGAGAAATCCTCTCAAGTTTCCGTGTACGACATTTTCTGGCTGCCACCCTGTTTCTTGCACGTTTCCGCTCCAACTTAATTCTCTCCTGACTCTCCATATTAATTGGAGAAAGTGGTGGTGAAGATCCAAAACTAGGGACTGTCTGCGGTTCCTCCTTGGTTCTGAACCTGTTGACCGTTCCCTGAGTGGGTTGTTTCTGGTTGATGTGTACGATACCCCCGGGGAGGGTGGTAGTAGTACTCAGGGAGGTCAGTGTAGACGTTGTAGGGAGGGAGTACGTTGATTTACTAACCGTTGATAAAGACGAAGTGTCAGATTCGGACCCAGAAAATCCATCCTCTTGATCATTATCGTTTTCATCATCTGGATTCGTAGTACCATGGAGTTGGGCTAACGCCTCAACGAACCCCCTGGCGTACGCCTCCTGCTCGTCTGTCACGTATTTAGGGAAAAGAAACTGAGTTGGTGTGGGTGTGGTTGTCACCATGCCATTAGCTTGAATTATCATTTTCTCCAATTCTGGCGAGGCCAATTTCAACATATTTAAGTCCGGGGATTGTAACAAATTCCCCATTTTCATTTGTTTTGATTTAGGAGTTGAATTGCAATCAAAATCGAGAGTCATTTTTCTTTTAAGTTGACTTACTACTTGGTTCTCCATCTTCAAACCGCTTATTCCGTGATCGGGATAAAAGGTTGTATCATGTGTTTCCATTGTTCGATAGTCCGTTGTTTTGAAAGTTTTTTTTTCTCCCCTACAAAATTAAAGTTGTTTATCTTGATTCACAACAGTATATTCGTATTTCCCGAACTGTCAATTGGTGACTAATACTTCAAGCCAACCATGTGTAGAAATATAGACACAGTGATGAGTCACTTCGCAAACTTTCTTCTTGTTTCAGCGCACCTTTTCAAAGTTTTCTCTCACTGGCAAAATGTGGTATGGCTTCCAACGGCCTCTCGTCTCATATTTATACTGAATGACTCACCCAGCCAAAAATAAAATGACATCACTAGAAACAATTTTGATTGGCTGCCTATGAGATCATCACCGAATTTATAAAATCTCATTCGGAGTCCTCGAATTCTTCTACTACTTTTATCATAAAATCCGAGAGAGCAGAGTGAATGTCTGCGTTCAACGATTGGTTATTATTTGTTGATAATAGTAACGACAAATATTATGGGATGCAAGCACCTGCTTAAAAATGGACGTTTTCATGACGTAGTAAATATTGCGTAGTATTATATCCATATATGGAACAAAGCTGTAGACTGGATCAGCAGTCCACAAAGAAAATAGAACCAGTGGTTTAAATTGAAAACTACCATTTTAGTGAATGTTTTGAATCGGGAGTACTCGAAGAATATCTACCAACACTTTAGTTGTAGATACGTTTTTTGTAAGCAATGCTCTAATCATGCAATGTATTATGTACACACACGTGCTTGAAACGATTCCAAGATTTTGGCGCAAACGCCACGTTGTCAGAAAGGGGAATTCCAGTTTAACGATGAGCTGTCACTGAGGTTGGAAGGATAGGCTATTTTTGTTCGATGATAGGAGATGTTGATTGATAATATGGAATTAGAACTGAAAGAATGTACAAAACACTTATCAAGGACATATGGGCTTACACGTATAATATATACTTTTAAACTTATTTATTCTAAACAAAAGTTAAATTTGCAGCCCAGAAAACAGTTTCGATGCTTAATATATACGTTCGCGATAACGCCTTCAAGTACAGTACTGTACAGTATCAGGGACGTATATATTAACGTCCCCGACAGTATATAATGAAAATAATAAAAGAAACCCCAGGTTTTGTGAAACAGACTGACCATTTGTGACGTGTCCACAGGCTTTCTGAAATATTCCTAAAATATGAAAAAATGGTAAAAATAATGTGACAATTAATTTGTACAAATATTTATATAGATTTATGATTTTAATAAATCTCCAATAAGACCGCAAATAACAGGCATTGTCATAAATGTAGAGATAACACAATGATAAATTACAGCCAGGTATAACTGGATAAATTCTGTAAGGTGTTGAGCTGTTGTAGGAATTTACAAAAGATCCCTACATATTTTGTTCGTGACAGCTGTTTGTTGAGGGCATGAAAACAATATGGCAAGGCAGTAAATTAATTTTCAAGTTAAGCTTTTTTGTTATATTTATTTGTGAAAATAACAATAACGTTGAGCGCATGAAAACAATATGACAGGGCAGTAAATTAATTTTCAAGTTAAGCTTTTTTGTCATATTTATTTCTGAAAATAAATTAAATATAAACAAGATTGATAAGGGTCAATGATAAATCGAAACAGTTACAAATGAAATAAATTAATGAAAGTTTAGGATTACCTGCAAATATACAACTGTAATACAAAACAGATATGGAAAAGTACTTGGCATTTATATTTGAGATACATAAACAATCATTGCACTGTGTCCCTTCTCTATTTACAAACATTTTGGTGACATCGGTTTTAAGACCACATCATCACATGTTCGGTGTATCGATTTGGCTCCAGTTCAACAGTATCACCTGATCTGCTCTAGGAGAGACAGTGTATGGGATTTTCCAAAGCATGAGGCAATGTTGTATTTTTAGCTGATGAGTCATCCTGGCCATGCCTCAAAAACTATGTAGGTCATGATTGTAAACAAACCAATCTGGTATTGTTTGGGTCTGTTGAGATAAATACCGTCCTGGCAAAGCTTAACAATGCTTTTGATAATAATGTTTGCTGTTGAAAGTCTTTGAATATTAAAATAAATAATACTGTTACTGCTATACAGTGTTGATAGATTATATTTTGAGCCATCTGCTTCTGTTATTTTGAAAACATGATTTCATAATCAGCTGAATATAACCGATCTAAATATTGTGGGTTTGTTGAAGGTGTTAAATTTACGTGGATTAGAAACCTAATTATGTTATAGATAGAGTGGTTTAAGTTCACCTATTGGGTTCATGTTATTTACACTGGAGAAGCTAATGTATCATAATACAAAATAGTCTGAATTCATTGACTCCAGACAGCTGAAAAAAGTTGATAGAACAAATAAATTGAAGCTCATTTCAAACAATAGATGCTTTATTGAAGTAAAATGACCTTTAATTATTAGGTAGAAGGAAATATGTACTGGAACCAGTAATATATGTAACTGACTGACAACTCAGTAACTTCTGTACCGTTTCTGCTTCAAGATTTAAATTTCAGTCCTTATTTCCTGAAGGAAAAGATGTTGCGATTTCACACTAATTTTTCCTTAATAATGATAATCATCAAAACCGATGTAATAGATCATCACTTCATCTGTATTTTAAAGTGTGAATTAAACTTGTGTCAGGGATACTGTAAGATAGAGATACATTTTTAGCATACTTTGATGGATATTGAACTTGAATGAAAGTATCAACTGAAAGTGGTAGAGAAAGACAGAATCACCACTAATGGTTGTCAGAATGAATGAACAATATATAGTTTTATTTTAAAAGGAGTTCTTTCAATTCAAATTATGTATATTGTTCTGCCCTCTGAAGCACTTTTGTTTAAAACATAGCATTGGATACTAAGTGTTAAGTTTAAATAAAAAAGATGCTTGGGGTCATTAAGCTTAGATTTTGTTCAGGATATTACTGTAATTAGATATTATCCAATATCAGAACATTTAAGTGAATTAAACTTTCTTCAAGGGCAGTCAGATATTATTTGATTGATGGGTTTACGTGGATTGTAATCACCCATTTAATCTCCTTGGATACAATTACTTTGCCCGAGTTGATGTGGGTTGTCATTTTAGCTTATTGGAAATATCATAGCATCAATTAATCACTGCTGGTTTTGATCTTTCTAGATTTCAGTTCATGTTTTAGCTGTCTTACCTTAATGTATTAAACTACCTGTACTTATGAATGTCCTGAGGGGAGAAGTAGAGTTTAATAGATGGCTTGCTGATAGTCTGAATATTTTGTTATATGTCAAATATTGATTTTCTCACAATTTCGTTAAAAGTAAAAAAAATGTAGCAATTATATAAGTTGATGATGAATCAGGGGTTGAGTTAAAGTAAAAACCTTGTTGAATTCTTTTACAGAGTCAATTAATTGTTAATTTGAATTAAAATTTGTCTTCGTTTGGTAGCTGTTAAAACATGTAACACATTTCTTGACTCTCTACCATTTTCAATAGTATGTTAAAAGCCTTGTTTTATTACCTTTCAAGTGTACAGTATCATTTAATTTAGTTACCGCGTTTTAATAAGTCATGACCGGTCAGTAATATACTTTTTAGGACGAAATTTTATCGTATATTTGACACTGAAATTAATAAACTGATTGAATTGATTGAAATCTATTTTGACAAATTGTGCTGTGATCTATTTCAATTCTCATCTGATTTTGACATAAAGATACATACCATGTACATATAAGACAAGATGTTAGTGATTAATGGTACAAAGAATATCTTGGTTGAGAAAAATTGGTATTATTTTGAAGGAAAAATTGAGCCTAGCCTAGCTTGGCAAGACACAAACCATTATTAAACTATGGAATCCAGATTTGGATGCTGTTTTTTTTAATTGTAATGTTCAGTTCTCGGTAGCTGTGATAATCTTTAGTGTGTAGTTGTGGTATGTAAAAAATGATACAGTTTATATTTTCATAGACCATGAGAAATTTTATTACCTGGGTATGTTGTAGGATATGAATTTGAATTACATGTTTCAAAAGTCAGAAGAAAAAAACTTGTAATTAATTAATTATATTACAGATAAATTGAAAGGGTTCTGACAATCTCTGGAATTTTATTTCATCTTGGTTGCAATATCAGTTAGCGACTAAGGCAAAATAAAATTGTGAATAGAAAATTAGAACCCTTTGGACTAATTACGGATGTGACAATTGTAGACATGACATTGCATAATGTGCATATACTCACTAAACTTTGTTTCTATGTACCATATTTATGTTGAAATATGCCCAAGTCTGATGATGAGTCGTGGATTAATCTAGAATTTGGGGAATACTACCCATTGTGGAAGTTGGGGAATTTTAGTTTATTTTGAGAAATGGAAGGATTTCATAAGGGGGATAGGGTAAAACTATACAACATACTGGAAGATATTGACATTTTGTTTTCTTGATAGCATGAGTTGAAAACATGTTAAGTAAAAATATATTTAATTAGCTCTGTTTTGGGGAAAGTTTTCTCTGTTTTGGGGAAATTTCCCCAAGTTTTTGGTATATTTTCCTAATGGGGAATTAGTTGATATTCAGAAGGGAAAACATACCACTGGGGGAATACTAGCCTTTTCTGGTCTACAATTTGTCTACATTATTCCCAAGTCCACCACATATATATTCTAGTTTGAAAAAAAAAAAATCTATGACAATATTTATTTCATTTTCTGATAGTAAGTCTGAATTGGAGATTTTACATTAGCCCCTTTAACTTGAGATAATTAGTATAATAGTGAAATGACAAATATGAATGGAAAACACCTTATGGGTTGTTTGATGTATTACTATTACTTCCATCGTCCATCTGTCTTCAAATTAATATAACTATTGTCCTGCAAAGATGTGAAGAGTTTGAGAAATCTTAGTAAATATTTGATTCAAGCTACTTCTAACAGAAAGTCTCTTCTTAACATAGTCTCCCCAGAAAAAAGAGATAAGGTAGGTAGCTGTACTTAATTAAAATCATACTTAGAAATAAAGTTCTTTCCCTAGATATACACTATATTAGCTTAAAGGCTCAATTGTTTTTTTAGGATGAGGTGGGGCAGGAAGACAACATGTATTAAGCTGTCCTTATAACTTACTTTTTTAAGGTATAAACAAAAGAAGTAAACATGATTTACAGGATGTGACCTTCACAGAGCACATAATCAAGTGATCAATTTTTATCCAACTTATCTATTTTGTATGTGACAATCAGTTCAGTTTTCACAGCTCTTGTGGTCATTATTCTTTACTTTTGCTATAATGGGCAGGAGGACAGAACCTGGGGGAATGTTTAGAGGGGAGAGATAAGGAGGAAGAGATGTATTGAACTGGATCACCTTGCGCTGAAACACATACCTAAGATACTTGATAGCTGTAAAATAAACTTAAATGACTTTTTTTATACAGGATAGTTTTCTTTTGCACTTTAATGAATACTGGTATTGTTGTAAATCTGATTTCAATTTTTTTTTTTTTTTGTACTTACAGTAAGCTCTGGTATTGATATCTATAAGAACTTCGAGCTACAATGTCTGCAAGCACTCCAAGTACAAAAACATATGGAGCTGGGCCGTCTGTCAGCTCTGAGTCTCTGCAGACAGATCAAAGTGTTGGAATGCACACAGAGGATGAGGACATTCAACTCGACCAAGTCCGACAAATTCATAAAAATGTCCAGGACGAAATGGCACAAGATGAACAACAGGTACTATATCAGGAGGTCACAGAGTACAAATAATCTGATTTCCTGTGTCAACTATGTGATCAAAAGACTTTTTTGTTCTCAGATCTACAAGTAAAATATTGTGCCTGCCTGTATACTTAGGTGAAATGAGAAAGAACACATAGGGAAAACAATGATATACACATCTGTGTATAGTTGAAGGGTTCAAGACCATTTCTTTAAGAATGAAGAATATTGAAAATGAATACATCTTATTAGTTTGTGCAGAGTATTGTGAATAAGTTGTGATCATTGCACAGAAGCAAAACTTATTATTTATGGAATGGTACTAGATTCAAATAAGGATTTATCAAAAGCCCCACTAAGTAAAGAAAATTTAATCTTCATCATCTTCGGCTCATTTAATATAATCACTACCAAGCATTGAAGAGCTGACAGGAAGTTGGAGCCTCAATCAGGGGAAACAGACATCCTGAGGACACTCGTGTGTGTCCTCCCTGGCATTCGGCCAGGGGAAGTAGGAAATTGTCCTGCTGGCTCCGGAAGTACTCCACCATCCATCAATTAGTTATCACACAAACATGTACCACCCGGATACTCACAACTTCACAGACAAATACTTAGTTGTCCATCAATAATAGTTATAACGCTAATACAGTATTCCTAATTTCAAATAGCAATACTCAACCGCCCATCAATAGTGGTTATTTCACTGATACAACTTCACAGGGCAGTACTTAACTGTCCATCAATAATGGTTATAACTCTGATACAACTTCACAGGGCAGTACTTAACTGTCCATCAATAATGGTTATAACTCTGATACAACTTCACAGGGCAGTACTTAACTGTCCATCAATAATGGTTATAACTCTGATACAACTTCACAGGGCAGTACTTAACTGTCCATCAATAATGGTTATAACTCTGATACAACTTCACAGGGCAGTACTTAACTGTCCATCAATAATGGTTATAACTCTGATACAACTTCACAGGGCAGTACTTAACTGTCCATCAATAATGGTTATAACTCTGATACAACTTCACAGGGCAGTACTTAACTGTACATCAATAATGGTTATAACTCTGATACAACTTCACAGGGCAGTACTTAACTGTCCATCAATAATGGTTATAACTCTGATACAACTTCACAGGGCAGTACTTAACTGTCCATCAATAATGGTTATAACTCTGATACAACTTCACAGGGCAGTACTTAACTGTCCATCAATAATGGTTATAACTCTGATACAACTTCACAGGGCAGTACTTAACTGTCCATCAATAATGGTTATAACTCTGATACAACTTCACAGGGCAGTACTTAACTGTCCATCAATAATGGTTATAACTCTGATACAACTTCACAGGGCAGTACTTAACTGTCCATCAATAATGGTTATAACTCTGATACAACTTTATGGGTTATACTCAACTGTCCAGTAATAGTAATTACATTGTCGATCCAAAATAGATTATCACAATTTTCAGTACTCAAAAGTATCATCAATAACATGAAATATATACTCACAACATGAAGGTAATATCCACCATCTATCACTTACCTTTTTTACAACTTGATTTTCACAATGTTTTCTGTTTTTGACCAATTGATGTCAGTTGACAAACACCTAGACTGTAATGCTAAGATATTATGTTTTTGTTGAGATCATGTTTTTTAAGTTAATAGATGTACATCAGTTTGTTAAAATGTTAATATGATGCTGTTTTTGTTGACAGGTGTACATTGGTATACTAAAATGTTAATATGATGCTGTTTTTGTTGACAGGTGTACATTGGTATACTAAAATGTTAATATGATGCTGTTTCTGTTGAAAGGTGTACACTGGTGTGTTAAAATATTAATATATTGCTGTTTTTCGTTGATAGGTATGCAATCGTATATTATGATGTCTTTGAAATGTTCACAGCTTTACAAATTGTATATGAGTGTTACCATATCAAATAATGCTGGTTTTGTTGATAGGTGTATATGGGTGTGGTGTGGCAGGCAGGGAAATTAGGACTGGCTTACTATGATATAGATACTACACAGATATACATGATGTTAGACACAGTGGAATCAGATGAATTCACCATGCTGAAGAGAGGTAAACCCTTATTTGATTTTAAACAGAAAGTCATAACTATACATTTTGTTTTAGTGATGTTTTCTTCAAGGAAAATTTGTACCCAATATCCTTTGATATCAAGGTTTAATCAAACGGTTTCTCTATGTATTGAGAATATCCCTTTTTGCGTTTACAGGATTCTTTTAAAGATACAAATTAAAGTTGGATATTCTCATACCGTATTTTTTCGTGGATTGGGAGGGAGTGGATATACAGAAATATATAAAGCTACCCATGTTTGTCTGTCCCATCCTGTCCCATCCCTGATAAATGTTTAATCTTGAGAGTCACTCAGCAGATTTGATTCATATTTACCGAATCACATCATCAAGTGCTACACCAATCATATTAAGGTTTTCATTGGTGAAAAATAAAGGGTCAAAGGTCAAATTTTACAATTCATGAAAATTCATTAAACAATTATTCTTACATGCCTGCCAGTAGGGGAATTCATGTCTTGGAGACATTTTCAGCTTTTGGAATAGAGACTTCCCAGCCACTGGTTATACAAAACATGAAGAGATTTTTTTATTTTTTTCAATTGAACATATGTGCCAAAGCTGTATGATATCATTGTACATGTATATTGTTTGATAATGTTTTCAGTGATGAGACAGATCCCGCCAGTTTGTGTGGTTATTGGTACAAAGCAGGATGAACGTTTGATAAAAACATTGAAGGCACTCTGTAAGTTTTTCATAATAAGTATTATCTATTGCTATGTAAATAGTTAGATAAGACTGTAAGATATCATTTATATAGAAAATATTCTGTGTTTTGACAAGTGTTAGTATGTTGTTGGCTGTATATCAGCTAAACATTTATTCTGTTCTCCATGGTGTAGCTTGATATAAATCAAAATCTTAAAATAAAGGATGATATGAATTAAAAAAAACTCATTAATTAAGTTATAGGTCACAGCAAGCCGAGATTGAAAATATAATTGTCAGCCATTTTCATCCAATGGAGCTTGACCATAATCCACCATATTGCCCAAGTGCACAAAGCATTCATCTTTCATCACAAGTTGTAGTGTCCTTGGTCCTCACATATTTGTTCACATCATCCTATAGGGAAGATCTTAACCCTAACATTGAAATCTGCACTGATGAAAGAGTTGACTTCCCAGCTACCTTCCAGATCAAAGGAAATCATCAATGATCTCTAGTAGATATCACATATGCTATCAAAGCAGTCTTCTTTTACTCTGTGCTTCTCCTATCTGGATGATGCAGATTGTAATGCCTGGACTGGTTGTTTACACTCACAACCATGAGGATGCACTACGGTTGTTTTGGGTAAAAATGAAGACAGACATATCACGGAAACAGTGTTTAACTCTATTTAACATGTCAATTTCCAGTATATCAAAATACATTTCATCCCATAGTAAAAGCAAAAATAAAAATAATCATTGTTCCTTGGATGTGAATAACAGAAAATATTTTGGAACACAACACTGCCAGCGGGTGACTGTCATACCTGACAGTACATATATATTTATTCCTAATAGTTCTGATCATAAGTTTGAGAGAATCTCCTACTGTGGCCAGAAGAAGCGGAACTGTTTGACGTTCAGGGTCATATCCCTGTCTGATGACTACAGTCTAGACACAGCAGGACCTCTTCCTGAAAGCAATAATAATGTGTACATTACAAAAGCTATCATGGATAGTCTCCCCTGGCTGGAGAAAGATGACAATGTTGTTGTTGATTGAGAGTTTAGGGATGTTTTGCCAGCTTTGGATTCACATGATTTGACAACAAATATGTCCTCTTATCTAAAACCTGGGCAGGCTCAACATGACAACCAATAAACTAACCTTGAAAGATCCATAACTAAATCCAGATGGGTAGTGAAGTCATACCCTAGACATTCAAGCAATGGCTGTATTTCAAAACACAGCTTGCCTCCAACTACTGTATTGATGTCATCGAGGCATTTGTTAGAATAGTAACATCCTGTCTCATTGGTCTCCGAGGACCCATTTATGTTAGAACAGAATTGATTGGATAAGTTTGTAAAAATGTAGCCCCAAAAAAATTTATTATTTTACACTATGTTTGTACCTGAAAATCTGACAATTTCCTGTTCAGATAGCAGAATTGAGTATAGTCTATTTCCAAGAAATAAATAGTTTCTAGATATGTTACACATTATGATGCTACCGGAGGTAAATACTTTCCTGTGTTTGAAAATGATGTGCTACAATGGCCCCTGATAACTGAGTTTTATAGATTTATAATAATTGTTGACTTCTACCTTTTGCAGTGGTTCCCAAGCTTGACAAGGAGGATACAGATGCTGATCAGAGATCAGAGCCAGATGTGGTAAAGCTACTTCCCAGTGTTGACTTCAGTAAGTATGATACCATGGAGTGCTCATCTTTCTGTCAACTTGACATCATCAGTAAACCACCTAATCTTGTTGACTTTTGCCTTAGTACATTGATTCAGTTGTTTGTCTATGGGTGATTTTGATTTTTCAGGTTTGGACATCTGTAAAAGAAGGCTTCTAAATCTAGACCTGCCCTCCATCCCCAAACATTTTACAGAGACGGAGAAGACTCTCTATCTCTCATCACTTGTGCCTTTTGACAATGTTTCGATGGTACTGTTGCTTTGAGATAAACATTGAGATGTTGTCAGGTGGTGACACCTAGCTTGTATTGCTGAATATTGGAAGTTTTTAAATGAAAATATGTTGATCAGTTAAGGATATCTTGCTACTGTATTCCAATAATTTCAATTCTGAATGTGGTTTTGGGTAGTCATGTATGATGCTATGAGCACACATTATGGTAAAAAGCATGGATTTTAAGTTTATTGCACATTACACATGTAAATTTGAAAATGTGAACCTGTACATGTATTCAACCATTTTGTTTTGTACTTGTATATGACCATGCTATTGTATACATAGATTAAGCCATTACAGGTGAGAGCCACAGGAGGTTTACTGAAGTACCTTGAGAAGATGAGGATTGGTGTGGAGTTGGAAGATACTGTTGTTGGTGTACCTGTTCTAGATCTGAGGTGTTTCTCATTGTAAGTTATCACCTGATCTAGATCTGAGGTGTTTCTCATTGTAAGTTATCACCTGACCTAGATCTGAGGTGTTTATCATTGTAAGTTATCACCTGACCTAGATCTGAGGTGTTTCTCATTGTAAGTTATCACCTGACCTAGTTCTGAGGTGTTTCTCACTGTAAGTTATCACCTGACCTAGATCTGTGGTGTTTCTCATTGTAAGTTATCACCTGACCTAGATCTGAAGTGTTTCTCGCTGTAAATTCTCATTTGTCCTAGATCTGAGGTGTTTCTCACTAAATTATCACAAGACCTAGTTCTTACCTATCTTTGAACTGACGTGTTTCTCATTGTAAGTTATCACCTGACCTAGATCTGAAGTGTTTCTCGCTGTAAATTCTCATTTGTCCTAGATCTGAGGTGTTTCTCACTAAATTATCACAAGACCTAGTTCTTACCTATCTTTGAACTGACGTGTTTCTCATTGTAAGTTATCACCTGACCTAGATCTGAGGTGTTTCTCATTGTAAGTTATCCCCTGACCTAGATCTGAAGTGTTTCTCGCTGTAAATTCTCATTTGTCCTAGATCTGAGGTGTTTCTCACTAAATTATCACAAGACCTAGTTCTTACCTATCATTGAACTGAAGTGTTTCTAACTATCACTTATCACCTTTCCTAGATCTAAGGTGTTTCTCATTGTAAGAAATTAATTCTCTGTCGTAGACATCAGTTATTGGGTTTTGTATTAGTTGTTCTTTCATAAATTCTGAACTTTTGAGACAAAATGTTTCTGAAAGGAACCATTTCCTTATAATTTTGAAAATATAAAGATGTCTTATTTTTCAGAGGTGATCAAATGGTATTAGACGACACTGCATTTAGGTAAGCCTTTACTAGCAATTATAGTGAGTCTCTTGTAGAAATGAGGCTAGCTTATGTAAAAATGAAATTAAAAAAAAAAAGATTATTTTCAACTGCTTTGTTTACGCTACAGAACCATAACTAGATTATACATGTACTTTTCAGATAATATTCTAATGTTTGAGATGCAGCTCCAACTGATTAGTAGTGGCTGGATACTAATAAAACAATCAGATATATGGTGAGGTTGTATGACCTTATAAATGGTTGCTGGGAAATAGTGAAACAACCAGATATATGATGAAGTCGCACGACCTGATTAGTAGTGGCTGGATAATAATAAAACAACCAGATATATGATGAAGTCGCACGACCTGATTAGTAGTGGCTGGATAATAATAAAACAACCAGATATATGATGAAGTCGCACGACCTGATTAGTAGTGGCTGGATAATAATAAAACAACCAGATATATGATGAAGTCGCACGACCTGATTAGTAGTGGCTGGATACTAGTGACACAATCAGAAAATTGATATTATCATATGAACAGGTTTGTGATGGTAGGATAGCGGGACAACCAGATACATGTATGTGATCATGTTTCATGACCAGATTATTTGATATTCATGACCTGATTAGTGGTGGCTAGAAGGTGAAATCAAAAGGACCAGAATAACCTACAGTCATCGTAAATAATTTTCTCTTTATCCTCAGTAAAATTATTTGGACTTTTAGTATTTTAGCAAAGGATTACCTTAATGGCCTTGTCACTTTTAAGACAGATCAGGCTAGTTTTAAAGAGACTTTCATCAAACATTTTTCCGGAAATAAGGTGATCTAGTTTGGGCTACTACAAACAATGATATGTACAATCAAGTATATAATGTGTTTATTGAAATTCAGTGGTGTCTCTTATACTGTAATATACATGTATAAATGGCTAATACACAAGCTGGTGAAAAAGTATGAAACAGTATTCTATTACCTGTAGATGACCTGTATTCAGTCTCAAACAATGTCAAATGAAGGTCAGGATGTACATGTCCTCAACTCATCCAACTATCCATAAATACCTTAAAGGACAAAGTATCAGTTGTATTATCTGTATCACAGATCTTTGTCAAAATAGTCTTACCTATTTTTCTTACTAGTAACCACAATAAACTTACACCTGGTAATAAGCTCATCGCTTTCTTTTGTAAATTCCAAATAAAAAGTCCAACAGTGATATTATCTTATAGTTATTTGAACTCCAGATGTTTTAAGCTATAAGCAACACAGCTACAGTTTCAGCCTATTGTCACAGCCTTTGGAACTAGTTCTTTCTACCAGCATTTTGATGATATATTCCAATGATTTACCAGGAACCCGAAGCAGCAGTCCCATGCTATAAACAATGCCACCGTCTTTCAAAACAGTGTCATAAATGTATACTGTTACTATGAGACAAGTATTATACTAAAATCTTACCAAAATTGACAGACAAGGTCTGAAAATATTCAGATTGAGAGTTGTGTCAGTCATGAACTTGAGGTTATGCCCTCTGGGGTTATTTACAAATAAATAAGGTATATTACAAGTTACTGATAATGTGACTTCAAAGTCCTGATGGATATGATGAATGGTATACTCGAAAAAAAAATGAATTGTGGCTTGTACTTGTTCAAAGTTTGTTTCAGATTTCATGTTTTTGACCCATTAATTATATTTCTGGATGTCCTGAAACTGAAACCTGGCTATTGATATCCTTAATGTCTAATGATAGTAAGAAATCAACAATAATAGACCTTTATGATGTAATTTAATGTTTATAAACATAGTGTGTCACCGTAACCCCGACCTACGTGGTTTGGTCACCATACAGCTTGTGATGTCATGAGATTGATATTTATTACTCTAGTATGTATCCTCCATACCACTTGTAATCCCCATTCATACTAAAGGAAACATTAACTTAGGTCCCTGCTCATCTCTTTGTTTGTAGCATTGAATCATGACTGGCAAGTCTGCTGATGGCCTATAACAATCATTTGACTGGAGAGGTTATTTCAAGTGATATAACATGACCTGTCTCATTTTAGATCCGTTTTACTGGGTTCTTGAAATATTTCACAGCATTTCGCAACCCTTAATAAATTGATTTAATACTTCTTCATTTATCTTAAGTGTCATCTTTTGTGTGATTCCTCGTTTATCAAATTAGAGGAGACCAAATTAAACAAGAATAGTTCAAATTTTTGTTACTTGTACGGAAAATGACATTTTGAGTTATGCACTTAATGAACTCATACCTATTGTGCAATAAGCCGAGGGTGCTAACACATTTGTTTTACTTGTACTTGATATTTTGATTTGATTACCAAGCATGGGCTTATTGTTTGATATATACGGTACCCTGGTAAAAACACAATTTATTTTATGATATGATGGCAGTTTGCCATGTGTATATATAAACAGGATACAGTGTTACAAGTCAAACAAGACCACATACTACAGTTTCATTTCTTATGCTGAAAGAACAAATGAATCCCATCTTAAACTGTCTCACTCTGTATCGTATATACCGGTTGTGGTTGTTGTTAATGAAGCGATTTAAACATGATTTTCATGTTGAGGAAGCATTGCATAACATAACTCACAAATACAGGTACAAGTTTAGGCATATATTGTGACTACTGGGAGTCCCTATGGAGGCAGTTTACACAACAGTCAGATCACAAGTACAGGGTTGGGATCAGACGTATAGCAGCAAATCTTATGTAAAAATATATTGTAACTGGTCCCTGTGAGAGGCAGTTTACACACCGGTCAGATCATCAGATCACAAGTACAGGGTTGGGATCAGATATATAGCAGCAAACCTTATGTTAAAATATATTGTGACTAGTCCCTGTTTGAGGCAGTTTACACAACGGTCAGATCACAAGTGCAGGTCAGATGTTAGACATATAGCAGCCAACCTTATGTTGAAATACATTGAGACTAGTCCCTATAAGAGGCAGTTAACGCAACGGTCAGATCAAAAGTACATGTCTTGGATCAGACGTATAGCAGTAAATCTTAAGTAGAAATATATTGTATCTAGTCCCTGTGGGTCAATTATGTGTATGTTAAACAAACCTTAGTGTGGCAACCTGAAGGAAATAGGACAAATTTTTCACGTGTAGGGTATAACATACAGAAACAGCTAAACAATTATGAAATTTTGGATAACATGGCATCTGATTTTTTTGATCTTTGATATTATAAAAACACACAATGATATTGGTTCATGGCCTTCTGGTGCTCAGAGCTGTTGATCCAGATATCATCTTCATTGCATATTACTGCTCATCAATTTCCAAATAGCCTGCCTTAGGACAAAGAAGGATCAGGAGGAGAAATCAAGCATGCATGATATTAAATATAATGTCAGAAAAAAAGGTAGAGGGATGAAAAATTGCTTCAGGGATGAATGAACATTTACGTGAGCAGAGTACATTTCCAATAAAAAGGACGGGAAATGTGGAAGTTCAGTGATTGAAAGATTTCAAAGGAGTGGGGAATACATTTCCAATAAAAGTGGGGGGAGGATGAGATATGGCTTTGAAGTTATCAAAAAGAGTGGAGGGGGGATTATAAAAAAGAAGATGGATATGCACAGCCAATAAGGAAAAGACTGAAGAAGTTTCAGTTCAGCAAGGACAGTTTACCATATTCAAGTATTATTTAAAAAAGCTGTCAGTGGTTGAAATTTTGTAATATAGAGTGTGGTTCACATGTCTTTCCAGTCCTCTTGTTTAATAAATCAGCAGCACATTTTCAATAAATAGAATCACATGATTATTGTACTGATTGCTACCTGATTGATATCTGAAGCTTAATGTCACCTGTCATGGAATCACTTCATTAGTGTACCTTCCTAACACTGGACGACTTAATCTGTAATGCCATATCACTTTGTCCGATTGGGCCATACTGCTGTTGTGACTGTTTGTTTATTCATCCAACTCTCATTCTTTTGGAAGATTCCATTTTACATCTTTTGTATTTGTTTTTTTTTAAATTATTATTAAAGTATATTGTTTTTGTATGATGGAGTGAAACATGACCATAATTTTTCCAGTAATGGTGAATATGGTAGCAGCAGAGTCAACATTTGTGTTAAACTTAAAGCTGTTTAATAACTACAAGACCTGTCATCTTCAATCATATTGTATAGTTATATGTGATTTAAAGCATCTCAGCACATGGTTTCAATCATATTGTATAGTTATATGTGATTTAAAGCATCTCAGCACATGGTTTCAATCGTAGATTTAGCCAATACTTTATGGCTACTTGGACTTCATTTATACAAACCAATGTTAAAGTTTCACATTTAAGGTTTTAATATACCTGGAAAATACTTATATCTGTGCATGGCTATCCCAAAACTCATTTCAGATTCTGAATTTTACCTGCAGATTACCATTAATTTGATTTTGTTTGTTAATTGTACAATGATAAAGTTTTTTTTTCATCTTGGCCTAGAGCCTTATTTCTAAAAAAGTACAGGTTACAACTAAACCTGCAGCATACAAGTATCTCTATGCAATGGCCATTCTGACTTTCCGTGTAGATTTCAGCTAATCATTAATTTATCTATCTTAATTATACATGAATATAATTGATATATTTTCTCTATCTTGATGATATGGAGGAGGAGGAGGGACACACTAGATGTACAATATGTTTAGGATGTTAAGTAATCATCAACACTATGCCCTATTTTCTCTCATTGTCTGTAGTAACTAGTCTGTATGTTTGTTTAATATATCTGCTACCTAAATATCATAAGACACACTTTGGTTGTGTCATTAATGATTTAATTCACATGGTTATCTCATTCAGCAGTGAACGTCCTTGTGTCAGTGTCTTATACCTAAATGAATTGTAGAGTTTTCTTTTCTGATAAATATCAGTTGAACTCAAACATCATTTTTTTAAGTATAGAGCTGGAAATGATACAATATGTTTTTTTAATCATTCTGCTTTG